GGTTTTAAGGTCAGGTTGATGTGCTGAAAACACATTCCCTACGCTACACACGAACGTATCAGATAAGCTGACGAGAAATGGAGAAAATCCAGCGCCAAAAAGGGAGACGTTGAACCCTATATTTAAAGAGTAGGCGCGCTTTATACATTTAGTTTACCATTTACTTGTAAGATCTGTTATGCGTGGGTATTTGGTATGGTATTTTATGGTTACTTTCAGTGCTAATTTTACTTGCAAAGATGAATGAAGTCTGAGAAACGCATATATTGAGAATTGAATTTTTCAAGAGATCTACTATGTGTTTGTTTATCAAACTTTTAAGGTAACAAAGAAAGACAGCATAATCCCTGGTATAGCAATATTGTTGGAAAGTTAGTCAATAAAAACTGTGGCACATCTTAAAGTACTAGAAACTTCGGAAAATATCAATTGATTTATAGTTTTTTTGGGAGGTTTCTTATAATAGGTGGAACTGAAGTAGAGTGAAAATATAGGTATAATAAAAAAAGATCAACATCTTACTCAGCAGTTAGGCAAGCAGAAGGAAGCAGGCCCACAACTGTAGTAGATGCATTTATTTCAATAAAAAGCCTTTTTATATTCGCAGCTAAACATAAATCGGCTTACATCTTGAAACACTTTCGCCCACCTTTCTGTATTTGCAGTTTGTTCCAAAAATTTACCTAATCTTGTCAGTGTTATGCAATATATTCTATATATATATATATATATATATATATATATATATTATTATTTACCGCCTTTTATAATGACGAATCCAATGTCTTTAGACGTGTGTTTCTCATGACAACAAATTAGACACGAAAGAATTGTGTTTTACTTCTTAGTACTAATCCATGTTGAAAACCCATCTATGTTTCCAGTCCGAAATTTCCCGTATCATATAACCGGATCAATCAATTAGCTGTATATTTCCAACAGACCTAAGGTAGTTCCGTGTAAAACGAAAAGATAGCCGTTGTTAATGTAGATATTGATCTTTGATATAAGAAGAGGCAATGTTATTTTTGTTCTGGATGCCATCACAGGACCAAAGGTCGCTTCAATATCCTTCTAAACAAAGATTATTGGGGTGCCGTTGTTATTTTCTTGTGTAATGAATGAACGAATGAATGAATTCTGTCGTTGATATAAGGTCGACGGGGAGCAAATCAGTCTAAAGCCAATGTAGGGTAAATCCGCGTCTGAACTTCCTGTAGTTTGGGTTAATATATTGTCTAACAGTTTAGTGTATTCAGGGATGATTTTATTGAATTATGATAACGAGAAGCCATGCTGCATAGCTCGTTTCGTATAGAAGATTCAAATCTGTCAATTGTTCCATAAGCTTTCGGATCGCTTAGGAAGTCACATAATCTGAGTCAACTCTTAGTGTGGGAGCCAGCATTAAGGGTTAATTTTACCTAAACATTGAGTAAGATCATATATTTATATATGTTTTCTGGCTACACAAAGAGTAACCTTGGCACCTAATCTCACATCTAGGTAACTCCGCTGTTTGCGCTATGAGTGGCTAACTTTAATGAATCAATATATGAGCTCCAAATAGATTTTATTTTTAACATTTTTTTATAGGAGCAACTTTTCTGAATAATCTGTAGCGATCGGAACTGTGGCAATCAGACAAGCCCACTTATTTTCAGATTTCAATTTTCATTTCTACCCTTAGCTTAATGGCGGTTCGGACTGATGTGATTCATATTTCTTAGAATCGGAGCATTGTAACGTCCTTACAGCCTCGCTGCGTTGAGGTATTCCGTACATGTTTCGATGCCCCAGAATCGAGGCCAGATAGCTGTGGCTGCACCCATCTATTCAGTAGATCCGAATCGCTTTTTTAAAATATTTTATGCGTTTTGCTCCCCCGCAGCTTAACTACCGCCATTCATGAAAAACACAAAATAAGCTTATACTACAGACTAATAAATAATACAGCCCAATGACATCTAAGCTAGCAAGCTTCCTCTAAGACCATATTTTTCTGATTCTGTTCAAGGTAATTTCAACAAAACAATTTTCTTCTGTTAACCTGGTTCAAACAATAACAAATATGTTTATCGTTTTGTATATGCTTGACTGTTAATAATTCCATTAATGTAGGTGGACAATCCAGCTCTTCGCGTTGTCTCAACAATTCCAGCTTGTTTAGTCTAAAGGCTGCATTCCGTTACTGTTTTTTCCCCTAATGCAATCAACTTACGCCAAACGTGTATTACCTTTGGCCGCTTTTAGCAGTTCGTTTAATATCTGACCACAGCGAACTATTTTCGAAAAAATCGTTTTTTGGCGTTTGTATATAACCGCTGAGCACGTCACGAGCTCCTTTGTCCATTATTTTATAGGTTTTCTCCGTGATAGATTTTACCAGTTCTGTTAATTGGTGTCTATGTGCTATCACTTCAGACGTTGTAAAGTTTCATCTGACACAATTCAAGTGAAATGTTATTTGAAGTGTAATTTTGCTAGCTTTAACTTTGGTCTTCTTCGGCGTAACTTGGTCCGAAGTTCACGAAATTGCATAATCCTATGGGAAACTAGCCTCAATTAGGCGTGATATGCAATACTCATTTTTATAACTTCATTCGTTTATTTTAAAATTGAAGTTTGCAAAAAGATTTCTCAGATTACATAGCACATGTTCATAGGAGAATTGTTATAATGCAGAAAAAAATCTTGCATGAAAGCTATCAAGTTTCGGTTAACTAACTATATATATATAGATATATATAAGTTAACCATAATATATTATATATAGATGTACGTAGTGAAGTTTCTATGTGTAGGTTCGAAATAAGACGTTTCGTGAACGGAATGAAACGTGAAAAGAGTCAGTCGGAACATAGAAGCCGAAGCACTTACTTCTTTAAAGCTGCGGCATCAATTTGCAGTTATTCGTATACTCGAAACTTTTCGGTCTCTCCACAGACGCTCTGATCGATCACTGTGCGAAAAGATTCCTCAAGGCAGTATCTTGTCGGTGCTTTGTTTGGAGCGAAAATTGCAAGTAAACCTTGCCGTAATAAATTACAAATTTTCTAATAAAACTGATCAGTTATAAGATCGTGGTAGGCTGGAGCCCAGTGGCTCGAAATGATTAGAATTAATTTGAGATATTACATACAGTTCGTAGAAATGTCCAAGGTAAGGTTTCTCTGAGTGTTTCAGACAGTAAATCACTGTTTACGAGTTTCAAGCATGCTACCAAAGCCCATAAAGCATATCAGCAATACTAGAAATATTTTTCTGATCCTATAACATCTAAAGTAGCCCGAATCGAATGGGAATTAGGTTTAACAATCAATGACGTTGGCCTCCTATTCAACGAAAATTCGTTATTTCTACATTATCCTTCACCAAAATTTTGGCGCATTTGTAACCGTTTTATACAATAAGTACGCACTTTTTCTTAATCGAACATTGGCAAAAGATTAACCTGCTACGTTTAGTATAAAAGCTAGATAACAGACGTTCAGCAGATTCCTTTGATGTGCTCAGCCCAACGGGAACCCGACAGACGTCCTTTCAGCAACGAACTTCTACCAGTTCCGTTAGCTATTCTATGCTCCCGTCTATCTCAGCTTTTTGCAAGTTGGCGACGTGAGAGTTCGCTTGTTTCTTTAAAATTTTCTGCAAAAATTGTAACAGTGTTTTTCTTTTTTATCTGACTTAAGTTCTTGTTTCGCTTAGGTTTATTGCAGACGTACTTGGGCATGCTCCTTTCCATACGGCAGTCGTATACCGCCAATACAATTTGCGGAACTCGGCCTACTACGTCCTTAGGAGGACTAATAAGAGTTATTTGTTATTCCTTTTTTTTATTAGTCAATTTATGTGTCACCTCTTTTTTGTGTCAGCCAAAGGGTGAATGTAGCTGCCTATAGATACTGACGTTTATACGCTGCGTTAGTTAAGCATTGTTTCAGACGGCTGGCTTCTTCCAGGAGGAGACGTGATGTAATTCAAACCGAGGTCACCCCATTTTGTGTTGCCCCTAAGTTTACCTGTTACCCCACCACCATCTCGCAAAAGCACTGCCTGTAGAACATTAGAAAAATTGCCAAAATGTTTTACGACGATTCACTAAGTCGAGTCGAACAAAGATCAACGCAGTGTTCACAATCCGTACAAATCCGCAGTAATGCGGATGCTTTTTAATATTAGCATAATGTAATGCATATATGAAATAGTGGGCGAGCTAAACCCAGCGGAGCCCTCGGCAATATTGCAAAGCGTGTGTATAGCAGGTGGCAAGTCAACACAGTTTATCTCGAGGTGGTGGTTGCGCTAACACAAGCTACGGCCGGTGGATCGTGAATCTCTATTATGTTGGTCACTTGACGCAGACACAGCATTTTTTTACGGCCATATATATTTGTCGAATCTCCATTACCGATATCTTTCATAATGGCGTTCCTGCAAGTTATCTTTTCAAATCGTGTTGATCCTGTGATCTCATAATATATTTTTGGAACTTTGGTAGCCTGACTGAAATGACGACATATCGGAACTAGAGGTGGAATATAAAATCGACAACGATATTTTACTTGCGATACGAACTTGCGCACACGTATTACATACTTTTTTGACTGCAGCTCGGCTGATTCTCAACCGGGGAAGGATCGTCTATTATAGTAGGCTATTATAGAAAAGTAAAACAACAACAACAAGGTATGCAAACATGTGATGAACTTTGTCCCAACAAAGCGTACTGCCCGGAGCATCGATAATTTTCGGTTATCCGCCGGTACTATCGGAAACCAGAGTGAAGCTTGTAGCCAAAAAAAAGAAAAAGCACTTATCTAACCAATACACAGCTGCATAATGGTACGTGTCTGTTATATAATAGTTAAGCCGAACTCCCTGTTACTTAAACCTTGGCGATTCGCTGATTAATAAAAGGATTAGGTCTTCAACGACTAGGAAGAGTTCGGGCATACAAGGACTCTAAAACTTCTGAGGGAAATAAGATTTTTTGGCATCCTGGTTCGAACGAAGTCTGCAGATATCAGGATGGCTAGCGGCGAGTTACAGGTAAGTGGATTTTCTTGCAAGAAGAAATCAAGTGAGCAACGTTGTTACGGGACCACTGAGGGACAACAAAGACGTGTCGAAAACATAGCTTCGGGTAAATCGAACGTAGACTCGTAATCCGGTACTTCACGTAAGCAATCCTGTACGCTGAAGCTTGGGAGCCAATGAAATTTTCATTGGCTCCCAAGCTTGAACGTAAGCCTTATGTGTAAATATCAGTCAAGTAAATTGAATCAGCGATGTTCACACCAACGACTACTACAACAGTACGGAAAACCTAAGATATTCGATTGATTTAAAGTAGCCGTTATCCTATTCAAAGCAACTTACATATCTGATAGGAGCTAGCACGTGTCCGAAACAATCGAGCCCATTGTAAAGCCGATGTCTAGCCAAATAGTCAACTAGTGCGAACAGTAGCGTATATTCGATACGGAAGCGGCCAAAGGATACTGCAGACATACTTCAAATGGTCTGCACCTTTCTCGAACAAATTTGCTGTATTGTCCTGCATTCACCGGAAACGCGGATTAGGCGAATTTAGGTTAAATAACGGGATTTCTTCCTTAGATTGTATTCTTTATGATCGAGAACAATCTCGGTTGATGAATGATATCTCGGTTGTCTCAAGAGAGACTTTCACTTGTGTGCAGTGTCATTGCTCGTAATTAGATGGACACGAGGCTTTGCTCAGGGGGGTCTGTATTAGAGGGGTTTGTCGCAGCGGTGGCGCCCCCTAGAGCACTGGTGAGATGCAACAGAACGCTAGAGTAGGTCAGTTTTTAAGCCACAAGACTTTCGTCAACACCGAGCAAGAATGTATTTTGTTACGGTAACTGGAGCTTCGTGAAATACTTTTCTTTAAAGCAGGACAAAGCTGACGATGCATTTTCTTGACAAATGATCTATGTTTAGCTATCTGATCGAATGGCTTTCGTTGAAGTTGTATGACAGTTAAGAATGTTGTTGGTACGGGTAACGCAGTAGTCTTTCCGCGTGCCAACCCAGAACATCTGAACGTGTGCGTGTGGCTGGCTGCGTGAGCGATATTTGCTTGCTGAACTCGCTTAGTAAACGCAGTACGAATAAGTATTATTTCTCTACAGCTTGATGATGATTCTATCTCCCTCCAGAGATTGCCTTAATTTTCCTCTATACGTTGTCGTAAAAATGCGCTTCTATTAGTGCATTGCCCTATACAGCTGAGAAAACAATAAAATAAATAGGTTATAAGAGGTTTGTCGTCCTTTTTTTACTATGCGTTATTTACTCACAAGGAAGAACAACGTTTGTGTGGTCTCCAGAAGGCGCACAGAGTGCACTATGTATTCTGTATGGAATGACCGAAATTTAGTTCTGTCTATATTAAAGAAGGTAATATTTAATAAGCTACTTATTATTGTAACTACTGTAAATATGAAGTAATCGCGTTAAAGCAAATATGCCTTGATATTTCAGCGTCTCGATAGTCAACTCAGGTCACTTGTGAGTGAGCACTATCGGCTCATGAACGCCGCTGGGGCACTTCGTTATAGCAGGTACGCAAACCCTTTTGTAACGTTCTTAGGAACACGCTAAATTTGATCGACATATAACAACTGCTTATTCTGATACGTCAGTACTGCAGCGATATAACAAGCCTCTAACGGCGTGTATAGGTACTTCATCGAATAATAAGACTAGACTGAGCAAGGAGCCTTAGGGCTGGCTTTCCAAGTGAACTAAAATATCTACCAAAGGACAGAAGCACACTTAATTTGCTCCCATATTTTGCCCTCTCGACATCGCTGCGGATAGTATCGATACGATTCGGCCGCCATTACATTTTGGTACGTCGCAATGCTTGATGGGACTCGTTAAGGTGAAAACTTTAGGGAGCGATATGTTTTGCACTAAGATATCTTAAATCTGTCGTATATATATATATATAATAACGCCAATTGATTAATTTTGTTTATTCGTACATAAGTGATTGGCTTGATGTTTTATCGATGAACTCCAGTTGTTTCTGGAGCCGATTTTTTGTCGCTTATTTCGTAGTAGCGGACAAATAACAAGTACGATCGTTCAATGTGTTATTTATAACATGCGTTTGTTAAGCTGTTGATCATGCAAATGAACGTACATACATTGTATGTGCACTTGCTCTTTTATGTACGAACTTGAATGTCTTGCACGAACTTTTATGTAACTATGCTTAGACTAAAATATAGAAGAATGTTGGTGAAGCCATCTGCTATCGACAGCTATTCTGATAGAAATACGTTTTGTTGGGAACAATATCGACTTTCCTCCTCCTTTACCGACTCGGTGCGTTTGAATCGATTGTTTAGCATTATTAGCTAGAATCTAGATGCTGGCTCGAGTCACGCGTAATGTAAAAGTACCAGTTGTACTACACAACCTGTGTGTATGAAGCAAGATACTTACTACTAAACGCCCTTCATAGAACACCGAAGAAAATGATTCGATTTAAATGAGAGACTTTAGAAAAATGCTGCGTACAAAAAAAAAACACGTTCAAGCCGCTCAAATTATCTTAATAGCCTTCAAATTATACACAAATAATACCTGTTATTGCCGTTTCGAAGTCGGCGGAACTTAATAAGATCTCTATAATACCGAACCTCTAATGATGTGTCAGTACCTGTCATAGCTTGGTAACTTTATCAGTTCCTAATAATGCGAGGACCCTCTGAGAGAAAGCACCGCAGAATACGAACTACAATAACTTTCACGGCACAGACGTACATGAGATACTGCATTTACTAGGCCGCCCCTCAGCTGAAGGACTATGTGATCGTACTGAGTTCTAATAGCGTCATATTTAGTGTGACTTAAGTAATCTATTGGAAGATTATTGCGCTCGTCTGCAAGCTGCCCCATTGCAGTTGCTGAAACCTCTCATGCCTAGCTCATAGCTAAATAGACTCAATTTAATCGATTTAGAGTAATCATAAATGTCATGATGGTCCATTAAAGATGTTTGTCGTCTGTTTCGTTTAGGTGTTCTACTGCGAATCAAAGTCTTCAACGAGTTCAACAAGAGATTATCAATAAGGCTTACGAGCTTAAACATGTGCGTATCGATGCTTCCTGTACGCAGTTTGTCATGATAAGGCCCGCGAGTTATACATTTCCCTATTATTTATCATGATCGTTCGACATGCTTGTATTTCCTGTAGTTTAATCGAAGGGCATTTTATACAGCTAACCTGGTTGTACGCTCTTGTTTTCTTAACAGTTCATCGAACAATCGGCAAGCACGGCCCCAAAAATTGCCACAGCGACAGGTATAAACCAAAGAGCTAGCCCGAGTGGTGTCCTCACCAAAGGGGCTGTTCATCGGAAAACACCCACAGCAAACGGTAACTAGGAAAATCGTTTTTTCAGTGATCGAATATTGAAGTGTTGTAAAATTTTCGAAAAAATTAAGCGATACTTTTCATTCGTGATTAGCCTCATTTCAACACTATGATTCAAACGTATTTTATAATTGACAGATAACGGGCAGTTTGCAACAGTACTAAGTATTAGCCTTTAGACATGAACACGACACTGGGCTTCGGCAACCCGAAAGCTTTCCTATTTCCAGAAAACTCGCATTTATGGTCGGCGTACACGTGTCCAAACTGAACAAAATGCTTTATTTTCATTTGCAGTCAATACAACAACGGTTGTTGCGGGTATCCAATCAAGCCCATTTTGTGATGGTCAGGTGTCACCTAGTTGGGTAACGACGCACGATATCCTTGAGATTCGAACAGGTCGTAACGTTGTCGATAACAGATATGCGCCCAACAGCTCTAAAAAAGGTCGCAGTGATAGTAGTGGAACTTCAAACGGTTCGCCAGCTATTCGAATAGCCATTAATAATAAACTCCTTGCTTGTTTCCCTCAAATAGTTAAGCCATGTGAGATGCCATCTTGCGTAAGTGCGGATCCAGTCATGTCCAATAAGGATCCGCGTGGACAACAAGCATTGTTTCTAGCAAATCTCGGTCTCTGCACAATCGATAGGTAATCAGACATCGAAATCTACAGCCATTCAGCTCCACTGTATGCATGTATCGAACATGTCTTGATCTAAGCCTAGTTGAGGCTTAAACGCCGTATCGCAACAGCTTCGGATCTATCTAGGAACTGTGCTCGCGATAACTATAAATATTTTTCGTCGTCAATTCCATTTAGCATACTGTAGTATTTATTTTTAGCTTGACATGTGCTGCAAACGTTAGCGTTTACCTGTTTATTGAAAAGTTTATCTACAGTTATAATTATGGCAGTTCTACATACTTTAGGCACCGAGAGCTGGTGGCTATGACGTTAAGCCGTGGTAAACAACGACGTCGACGGAAGACCGCTAAACCGTTGTTTTCTGCAAAGGCTCTGGTGGCACGCAATGAATTCAAAAAAAGAAGCAGAAAGGGAGAAAGATTACGCAAAGGAAATCAAGCTGTAGGTACTCGGTTTGATATCGTAATTTTTATTAGTGACATTAAAAAATTTGATTTGGTTGACAACTCCGACTTGCTTGCAGATAGTAGCATCAAAAATTAAGCCGGCCTAGTTAGAGTTTGCCAACAATTTGTCTGTCAGTCTTCGGAGTATTGTAAAAAACCAATAATTTCTGTTTTGTTTCTTCAAGTCCAGACAGGCTGACGAAACGAATCTGCGTCAAGAACCTACGCAAGATAGTCAACATTTGTAGTAGCTTCTCTAAAGGGTACATACTTCCATCCACCAGCTGATTACAGATCATAGCCAACCCAATGCTTCATCTTGCAAGTACTGATCAAAATCAATATTGCCTTCACGGGGCAGAAGATCTCGTCTGTTTCATTCATCTCATCTAGAGTCGAGCGATTAGGAAACGTTTTGCTTGACCGATGCTGGTATTCTAACACGTACCTCTAAGGCGTACCCTAATATGAGAAATTACGATTGCAATAAAGTACATGCTAACGATCCCAAGCGCTCATTCTTAGTAAACGTTCGATGCTAATGAAGTATATGAGTCAGGCATAAAAATAGGAATATTGTTCTCTAACAAACATAACATTATTTCGGCTTAATGACAAATGTGTCGTCAATTTGGGGGGTGTTGTAGGAGGGGTAATTGACTGGGGAAGTGTGATATTTACGACTGTGATTATTACCATCTGTATTCTCATCGCGATAGTAGGCTAGGGAGAATCACTTAATAAACCCCCCCATTGTCAAAAAACCCAAAAAATGTTAATAGCCTGTTTATTTAACGCTATCGAGAAAGTGCTGTCTACAAGAAAACAGCACATTCTCGAAAGCTACCGCGTTCAATAGTTTATTTTAATGTAAAAATCAGTAACGTGAGCAGTTGTGAAACACCGAGTATTATATAATATTTCAATGAAGTAGCAAAAAAAAACAATTGTAGCATCAGCAGCTTAAGGTTGTAGTAGTTGAATTTGGTTGTATGCATAAACACTTATTGGCCATACTGTAATTACATTATTACATATGATTATGACAATTGTATTTATATACATTTTTGTGAATATATAAAAATAGAAGTATCTATAATATGAATATTATACATACGTTAGGGTTACCTTTACAATTAAGTAAATGTATTTCTTGAGCCATCTCTATTTTATTTTATTTTCTGTCGGGCTTGATCGCATGCACTACACGTAAGTCCTTATTACCGAAAACATGGAATAGTTTAGTATCAAAATCAAAATCGAACATGGGTAAGATCAAAACTGTATTTGGCAGTATATCTATATATTGGTAAGAGACATATGACGGACCATGACTATTCTCATGTTGATGTGCTGCTTCGCTCGTAATAAATGTCTATACATATATACTAGCATAAAATATAGCAGCGATGAACGTCTGGGCCTTGTAGATATAAACATATGCCCAGCGACGATCTATAAGCTGCCGTCGTTTTTATATATATCGCTCACTGGATTAGCAGGCAACCAAAATGAGCGCTGTCAAGCTTTGCCATTGTACACTCACCCGGTAGAAAGTATTATTTATTTTTTTATTTAGTGTGTTTTTCCTTTAAACAGACAACCAATACATAGGCTTTTGTAAAATCTTTTCGAGGCTTCGATCATTATTAATTCGCATTCTAACGTTCGATGTTTCGCTTGGATTTATTCAACTGCTGTCGTCGTTAGCGTCCCCGCGCTTTGCCCATGAAGAAGATACAGGAATGTAATGTTAATCTCTGCGTGAACGAAAGCTTTCCGTGGTAAAGCAGAATTTACTGTAATCTTGACTTCTGGGACTGTAATGCAATAATAATAACTGAATAGAGAAAAAAAACCAACGAAATTGTACATGCGCAAAAAATGTAAACGTCAACAATTTTGTACCTGTTCGTGGCTCGCAAAGGTAAAACAGGACGACGGACGCTAAATATAAGAAATGAATCGTACTAAAATACAACACAGGTACTAACCAGGACGTTAATGATTTTTCCAGTTAGTTGACAGTTCATAATTGTAGTAACAAAAAAAAAAGTAACTTCATTAACTAATTAGCCGGAATCCGTCACACGGTTCGGTTGCTTAATACCAAAAAAGGGGATTTCTAGCTGTATGACGACTTAAGTAGCTCATAGACCAGCTATCCTTCAGTGGCCAGGTACCCGGGAGAAGGGAACATATCGGCCTAGTCAACTTCGCTTATTACGTTGCACTGTCACCGATAGGTTATCATTATGATATGGGGTGTCTATCACTGCAAACGTACGCAAACGATAGCAAATACATTCAGCAGTATACGGTGAAGTTTAAGACAATTTAAACAACTATAGAAATACGGACAGAAGATATGTATTATTTGGAAAAAAGCAGCGACAAGCTTTCACCTGGTCAAAAGCTTGAAGGAATAAACAAAGTACACATTTTATGTTGTCTTCTCTAATAAACCTTAAAGAAATAACTTCGATTCATACTGGACAATTTTCGGTGGACGAATTTCAAGACCAAACCCTTTCTAAAAAAGCGCATCATTGAGAAAGATTGCCAGTATTATAAAAAAATTAATTTGTCCGTATAATCCGAATTACCATTTGGAGGCTTCAATAATAATAGTGGCTCAGTCACTTTCTTAGACGTTTCAGTCAGCTTCGTTTTATACTATGTAATGCAGGAACAAGGTGCGAAAGCAAGCCTGGAGTTCTATAATCTATAAATGTATAGCTGTGAAAAAATCGTCAAAGCTAGGAAATATACGAAACACCTATTTCAACTGTGACCTACTTCTTTCCTAACTGGAAGCCTATTTTGCTGTCGTTAAGTTACGTCTTACTTGACTTCAAATTTACGGTTGCTCCAAACATACGAAATAATAAAATACCGTTTAAAAAAGAACTTATTTCACTGCTCTGGAAATTCTCATGTGAGTCACTACCCTTCTAATTAAAGCTAGTTAGCCTAGTTAGCTATTCAATGAATATTAACAAATACTGAAAATTTGTCGCCGATCCTCTTATGAAACGCCATTTGGCTGTAATCGAGAATTGAATAATCAAAGCACGTATATCGTAACTGGAAAGTTGTAAATCGGTTCTGTAAGTTGTAGAACGGCGACCCGTGCTTACCCCCTGAATTACAACATAGGTCAAACCAAGTTTAGTGGAACTTTGCAGAGCCACATCGATCGATTAGCTGATAGCGGTGCAAGTTAGTTCAATCCGCGCTTAGAAAGAGTGTGGACCACAAATCCGAGAGACAGGGAGAGAACGAGAAAGCAGCTGAACGTGCGGTTGGTAGATACTGAGCCCTTTTGTGATTTCACGTAAGATCTACAAACACAGAACAGATCATTTCTGTTGAACGCTTAAGCTAACAGCTTATGCGGTATTTCGGTAGTAAAGGATGCTAACGAACGTGTGGGTTTGCGCGTTCCTGCTGTGGTCTGACAAGCGTGCAAATAGCGCAAGAGCTTCGCTATAAGTATGTGGGTGGGTCTCAGGATACTTGTACATTCGCATGAGTCCAGTTAGAACGTGGTAAACGACTAGAAAAGCTAGAGTGCAGGCAGCATGCTAAGAGATCAGGAAACGCTTAGAAGAAGTTACGAAAGAAAATGACCGTCCTGAGCGCATTGAAGTGGAAGTCCGGAAGGCTTCATCGAGTTAATTGTTGCTCTCCAAATGGGTACGAGGTAAACTAAGTATGTGAGTGTGAAATAAACAAGCCGAGTCTATCATGTCATCCTACTCATGTTCAAATTTGTGTTGTTAACGTAAACACTAAAAGTAGTAAACATTCTTTTAAAGGTTTTCCGCTTCCGAACTGCACAGATTACGAACGCTCTCGTCCATAATAATCGACAATAACCAATATTTATACTTGACCTTATTACGAAAACAGTCAGCTGATATTTTGCGTTTTACCCCCGAATGTCTTGGTAATCGACGGTTTTGAGACAAAAAGCCTTTTATAAAGTTAATATTTGCTATTATTTTTGGTTCCAGAACTATGGTTAACTCGATCTATGACGGAATCGTGGGTTTATTTCAACTAATAAATATGGATAGGTTAATCCGGTCGTTTTCCATATGAAATACTTAATTTTTCTACCAGTAGCTAAGGGGGTCAAATGTTAAAACTAATTTGTTTTCAAACAGACATGGTTAGTTTGTAACGACTAGGCCCATTCACCAGGGCCTCCACGTTACGATATTATAGACATTACCGGCTGATGCCATCGCGACGGTAGCCACCACGACGGTAGCGACCACTTTGCCTTGGCTACTGTTCCGTGGGGGGGGAGCATCCGGTCTCCGCCGTTACTTACCTAATAGCGACATTCATCGTTCGTTACCGATTCGTTAGTGGACTTTGAATTCCGCGCTAAAGCTAATTTCATTGGACAGAGAGAGGGGTTTAACCGACAAATCAAAAGGAATTACTCGGGTATGAGCCATTAACACGTTTGGAAGGTCGTTTGCTTTTCATCAAAATTTAACTGAACAAAATTACCAATCGCTGCTACACATACTTGTGGGTTTCATTAACGACACTTCGAACAAGCAACATGGCAGCGTATGTGTTATTCCCACTTGATATATCATAAAAAGTTTCGACACACGACGCAATAGTTTGCGCTCGTTTTGGTAGCTTCTTTTTTTGTAGCTTTAAGGTTCGCAGATTTCATCAAGCGTTTTACCGAAACACGTAAAAGCTCGAATTTTGTTTTCTAGGGCGCAAGTACACATTATAACTATTTTTCGCATACGTGTTCTTGACCGTATTCTCCTCGACGTATCCTATAAATTATTATTTCACTTGCTCTGCTTCATTTTTCATTACAAAAATTGCAAAAAATCGTTCAAAAAAATCTCCTTGATTTTCCCATCTATCCCCCAAGAGTCCTGTATGCTTCGATTTTTACGTTCGGTATCGTCTTCTGGCATTATATCAGATGGCTGGCTTTCACCATGAACGAACTGTGTCTCTGCCCTGCTTCGACCACAACGTGAGTCTAAGATCAGCAGGAAAATCCGTTGCCTACTATCACTTGTCACGAGAACATCCCCCACGAGCCCAATCAAAAATAGTATAGCTTAAACGCGCGAAATTTGAAACTCACTACCGAGTTTGTCGCGGGTAATGAATGGCCGGTGCAAGGAGCGTAGCGGACCAGGCATGGCCGGCATTGTCGCAAGTCGCTGCTGCTATATGTGATTACGACCGTCAAGGTTCTGTAAGCCCTGTCGCTCGGTGTTTCACTGCTAACGGAGGTTCTGTAACTATGATCTATGCAGTTGTAGGAATTAAGGCAACGAATAGTTTTCTCGTAGTTCCGTATACGATAGAGCTGACGTACGGTGAACATTCGCAGCTTTTGCGAAACTCCAATAAAACTCTGAACGTCCGAGGCATTGAGCGAATTATTCCTATATTAAAAATACTGATCCATTACCATTTTATTTTAATATCAAGAGGCGAAAAGCTACAGTAATAAGTCAAGAAATTAACAAACGACTGTTTTAAGTAAAGTTTACCGAAACTAAAGAACGAGTTAGCTCTAAAGCTGCTAGGACTGGAAAATGTAGCAAATAACATAAACACAAAATTTCATTTCAAGATT